CCAACCCATGCTCACCTTGTGTTTATAGGTTGACTAAGTGATGCTGCAGGCTAGTCCAGTCAGCGTGGTAATGTGATGTTCTATGTGCTGCTTTCTATTGCTGTGATGAAACACTGAATAAATATAACCTAGGGAGGAAAGGGTTTATTTTACTTGGCAGATTACAATCCATCATGTCGGGGAGGGGCAGAGCAGGAACTCAGGAGGGAGCCGAAGCAGAGGCCATGGAGAAACACTGCTAAGTGCCTTACCATAGCTTTCTTAGTTTGTCTCCTTGTACAACTTGGGACCACCTACTCAGGTGTGGCACCACCCTCTAGGTGCTGGACACTCCCATATCAATCACGATTTAATGAAGTATTGGCTTGCCTACATGCCAATCTCCTGGGAACATTTTCTCTGTTGAGGTTCCCTCTTGCAGGTAACTTAGCTTGTGTCAAATTGACAAATGAACGTACTTGGGAATGTCTGGAGATGTTGTCATCTTACTGTAAGATTAAGATGACTGTGAGAACATGGTCCTTCTGAAAAGCCTGCTGCTTTAGAATGAGATGTCCTTGTGACTTTCTTGCAGACTTAGGTATACTATAGCTGTTTAGCCTTTGGGGGGAGTATATAGTTCAGCAGAAAAGCAGTGCTATACATGGGGGTGTTGATGAGTCAGTTGTAGTGTGGGTTTTGGGCTCTGAACTCTGTTTCCAGGAAAACTGGGGAGAACTGTTTGACTATCTATAGTCAGTCATTTTATGGTATATAAAATTTTTATTTTATCTGTATGGATGTTTTGCCTGCATGTATTTCCTGTGTACCATATGTGTCCCTGGTGCCTGTAAAGGCCAGAAGAGGGCGTTGAATTTCCTGGGACTCAGCTACCATGTTGGTGCTGGAAATTGAGCCAGATCCTCTGAAAGTGCAGCCAGTGTACTTAACCACTGAATTATATCTTCAGCCCCTATTAAGGTATTTTTTTTGTGGGGCTTTCCTAGGTTCATGGTGTTGGGATTGACCTAGACCTTTCCTTGCTTGTGCTAATAAACAAGTTCTCTACCATAGAACTGCACCTTAGCCTGTGCTGAGCTGTCCTTGAACTTAAGCTGGAAATGAAGGCAAGACATACACACACAAACACACACACACACACATACACACGAGATAGGCAGGTTCCCTTCCCCCTGTTTCTGCACACAAAGTCAGGTGATTGTCATGGATTATAGATCACAAATTTGTATCAGGTTTCCTGGCTTTGTCTTCCTGTCTGGTTCTGGTTGTTGTTCCTTTCTTCTACAGCTCTTCTGCATTTTTCATTTGTTTTTAGGGGCTTGATACTTAACCATTTAATCTCAGCACTTTGATTTTGTTTTGTAAGGGCAACCGGCTGCTGGCATGTATCAGGACAAACTGCCAGGGATGATAATTGGTCTTTGGCTGTTTATCTCTGGTGTTTGAGTGTTCAGATTGAAGGAGGGAGGCTGTTGTGTGTGTGTTTGCCCTCTCCCTTGGTGCTTGTTAGACTTTTTGAGCATGTAGCTTTAAGTATATGGTAAGTGAGGTAGATAACATGTGCTGTTATGTTAATTATAAAGCAGTTTTCTCTTAAAGGAGAATTTTTTCCTCTTGAAATTACCATGTTTCTTCTAGAGATACAGGCTACCTACTTCAGGGATTCTTAAGTTAGTGGAATCGTTAAGTAATAGATGGAGTGGGCTAAAGAAAACTGACCTAACCCAATAGTGGTGGTGGTGCACACCTTTAATCCCAGCAGTCAGGAGGCAGAGGCAGGTGAATCTCTGAGTTCAAGGCCAGCCTGGTCTACAGAATGAGTTCCAGGACAGCCAGGACTAAACAGAGAAACTCTGTCTTGAAACCTGTCCCCCCAAAAAAGAAAAAAACTAAGCTAGGGACCTGGACACTGTGGTACGTGCTTGCAGTCCCAGCATTTGGAAGGCAGAGACAAGAGGGTTGACAGTTCAAAGCCATCAGCCATGAATGACTTAGCAAAGAACCACCATGAACAGAGAAAAAGAAGAAAATGGATGTGGGAACATGTTTAGAAAGATGATTTTCTTGTACTGTGTACCCTAACCATGTGCTTGAATACATTTTATTTCTGCCAGTTGTTGATTGAAGTTGTCCTTTCCTAGCCAGGATCTCTTGATGAGCTGTCAAGGAAAATGAAAAACAAAAGGAGGGGCATACCTCCCCAGTAGAGTGATTGTTTAGCATACACAGGCCCTGGGTTTACCCCAGCACGGAAAACTCTTAGGAAACCCTGAATCCCTGGCAGTTGGGCCAGTGGAGAAGAGTTAAGATGGAAAAGCAACATTCCTCAAGTCCGAGACTCTGGCTATGGGTCTCTTCAGGTATTTGTTGTGTGACTTTGGGAGAGATACTTTATTTAGCTGAGTTCTTTCATAAGTAGACTTGCTGTGAAAATGAACAGAAATTAAACTCATCTGTTTGAATGTTCACAGTAGGATCATGGAATGGTAGCTATCAGGGTAATTGTGTGTTTGTTCTTCATGCACCCTGTGCCAGATGCTGGGTTAAGTTTTGCAATGACCTTGGCAGGGAGGAGCCAGGAAAGTGCAGGGTCTTGATGTGGATTGTATAGCTGGTATTCATATTCATCCCGTGTCCACACTGATCCGCCTGGTAGGTAGTGTTTGGCCAGAGTGTGCTCAGCATCTGCTTGTTGAAGGAATGACTACAGGGCGCAGGCAGGAGAAAGAGAAGTAAGTAGTCACTTTTAGTAAGAGAAGCATCTTGTGAAAAATTGTTCCATTCAAGTTCTTTTTCTCTATTTGCTAAGTCTCCTTTCCTTTATTTCTGCTCTCCAGTATGTTACAGTGGTTACTTGTGACAAAAATCATTTGCCTGTTGTAGTCTGAGGTTTCTGTCCTGCCCGGTTCCCATAGTCGTCAAGTCCCAAAGAAATCACACAGAGAGTCTATATTAGTCATAAACTGATTGGCTCATTAGCTCAGGCTTCTTATTAACTCTTAAAACTTACATTAGCCCATTATTCTTATCTCTGTTAGCCACATGGCTCAGTACCTTTTTCAGTATCTTTTTCACATCTTGTTTCTTCTGTGGCTGGACAGGACTGCAGACAGAGATTCCTTCTTCCCAGAATTCTCCTGTTCTTCTTGACCTGCTTCTTCTTCCTGTCTGGCTGCTGGCCAATCAGCGTTTATTTAAAACATAATTGTCAGAATATAGACAATTGTCCTGCACTAGGTGCTGTTGGCAGAAAGGGTGCAGGGTGTTGGTGCTGTTGCATATCTTAGGGGTAGATCTAATTGATAGTAGTGAGTGTTGCAAAGACAGGGGAGGGAAAATGAGAGAAGCTGAACGCATTAGTTTTGCTATTGCTAGGATATAAAGCTTTGACCAAAGCAAAGGGAGGTGGGGAGGTGCTTATTTTAGCTTACAGGGTACGGTCTACCGCTGAGAGCCAGGACAGGAACTCAGGTAGAGACCATGGAGGAATACTGCTTACTAGCTTGCTTGTTCTTGCTTGTTCAGCCTGCTTCTAACACAGGACCACCTGCCTAGGGGTGGCACTTCTTAAAGTGGGATGAGCCTTCCCACATTAATCATTAACCAAAAAAATGCCCCATAAACTTGCTTAACAAGAAATCTGATGGAGGCATTTTCTCAGTGAGGTCCTTTTTCCCAGATGTTTAATAGCTTATGTCAAGTTGGCAGAAACTGAGCAGCACAGTGGATATCTGTGTGTCTTGTTTCCAGGTTTGCCAAGGGCCCTACAGCCACCTGGCTTTGTGTGCTGTGCTTTGAACAGGATCCTGGGACTTCTAAGCACGTCATAGCTTGGGGGCTTTCTTATTGTTGTTTGGTTGTGTTTTGGTTTTTTGAAACAGGGTTTCTCTGTGCAGTCCTTACTGTCCTGGAACTCGTTTTGTAGACTATCCTGGCTTTAAACTCCCAGAGATCTGCCTGCCTCTGCCTCCTGAGTTCTGGGATGAAAGGCGTGAGCCACCATGCCTGGCTGCTTGGGGACTTCAGTATTCTGTGAAGAAGGACTGGATTGGGGTTGAACATTGATTTGTAAGGAGTTTCCAGATGGCAGTGGTGAGAAGCATCACAGCTCCTTGGCAGGGATGTGCTTAGATTTCACAGTGCCTGCCAAGTGTGCTCATCCCTGGTTGTCTCATGCCTTGGGTTCTGGGTGGCAAAGGCTTCTCTTGAGGAGAGGTTCACAGTTCCTGCTGCGGCAGTGTTGCCTTGGCTGGGCAACACCGATCTTCTCCCTATTTATCCTAAGTGCTCTCTGGACTGCACAAGGAATTTGTTTTAGTTACTGCTCTTGCTTTTGTTACGGCTCTCATCTAATGTCACTGGACTTTGAGACACGGTCTAAAGATTTGCATTAGGTGTAATATTCGTAGTGTCTCAACTGGAATTACAGTGGTAGGGTGTGGGGATCAAGGCTCATGAGCTGTGAGCTGGAGTTTGGGGACTGTTTTGGACATCTACCTAGTATCAGGTGGTGGCCAGCCTTGAGCACATGGGACATTTGCTTTGCCAGCTTTCTCCAGGAGTTGAAGAGTAGAGAATGTGGTTACCTAGTCTGGTCGAGAGCCATTGCCATGCACCCATTCTGATCACCCCAGACAGTTCTTGAGTGTGTTGATTCTGATACTGTCAACTGCTATCTTTATGAATGCAGCCATTGGTGGCTCTTCTGAAGCCCCTAGGGTAGCTCTTAATTACTCAGGAAGCTCTGCTGTGTGGGAAACTGTGTTTGTGGCCTCCAAACCCCACTTTTAGAACCTTCTGTCTTACATTCTTCCTGTTTTACTGCTGGAATGAGCAAGGTTTCCTTTGGTTTTCAAACATGCTCCTGCCTTGCTGTTTTGTTTTGTTTTTTCCTTTTCTCATGGGTCATAAACTTTAAGCATTGTTTCAATAATTTTTAAGTAAATGTGAACTTTACCATGTAGATGAAAAAACAATATTTTGAGCATTTAGTGCACAGCTTGAGCTTTTATTCTTAAGGCAGTAGGAGAGTGCCAGGAGTTGCAGAGGAGCGTAAGGCTGGGTGTGAGTTCTTGCTCAGGAGGAAATCACAGGGGTGAGTCTTGTCAGCAGTCACTTGTCAGCTGGTGCTTCTGGAAAGCAAGAGGTCAAGTCAGTCTTCAGGTTCACCATCTTGCTCGGGTCATCAGATTTGCTTTCCTTGGTATGCTGGGAGCAAGTGTGTGGTGATGGGGTGGGGACTGTCGGACTTGGAAGATGGCATTTTTGGACTGTGTGCTCTTGGGTAAGTGTCCTTTTATTCCCAAATCTCGCTTTCCTCATCTGTGTGGTGAGATACGTGTTTGCCATATTTGTGAGAAAGTGCTTAGGGAGAGAATGTTGGGTATACTGAAAACAAGGGATGCAGCTCGGTGGTAGTGTGCTTGTCTAGTAAGTATGAGGCCTTGGATTTCACCCCGCCACCACACAAAAAACTAAGATATAGCTGGGCGTGTTATCGCACGCCTTTAATCCCAGCACTTAAGAGGTTAAGGTGGGCGGATCTCTGAGTTCTGGGACAGCCAGGGCTGTTACACAGAGAAATGCTATCTCTAAAAAACTTAAAACAAACAAACCAAAACCAAAACTTAAGATATGTGTCTCCTAGCATTTTCAGTGCCACTGTGGCAGATTCCTTTCATGAAGTTACATTGTGAAATATTTCAAAGGCAGATAATGTGAAGTGCTGGAAATAGGAATCAGCACTACCTCACAGTGAAAGAACGGAGGCTCGGGGTGGGGGGGGCAGCAGCTAGCTAACAACTAATTTCTGGTACTCAGGGCTGTTGCAGATGGACCTGGTGCTCCAGCCCTCCTGGGCTGCCACACATACCAGCTCAGCACCCTTTCCCACAGGTAGTGAGGAAGATTAGAAAATGCTTGAGAGTAGGGTTAGGAAAGAAAATTTGTGTCACTCATAAAATAGGTTAACCTCCATTTCAGATTGACTCACCTTTGACCTCTTCCCAGAGGATGTCCTGAAGAAACTTCCCCAGGGCCCGGCCATGCTGTTGGTACTGAGCTCCTGACAGCTTGATGCCAACGTCGAAAGGAGCGTTGAACTAGGAGGTAGGGTTGGGAGCGTCTGAGTCTCATCCTGCCTGCCGTGCCCCAAACACCCACCTCTCCCCAGGGAGGCCTGGCCATGTTGGCCATCTGGGTATCTGAGTGGTCTGTGAACGTAATCTTAGAGCCAGAGAGGAGAGCTATCTGGTCTGGTACTCTCCCTGTCTTAGGGCGGAAGCTCAGAGAGCCTGGATGACCTCCCTGTGTCACAGATGGAGGTGATATCTAAGGATTTAGAAAGCAGGACTCTGAACTCTGCCTAGCCGCAAGTCCTTGCTTGAGGCTGCTAGGCACCAGGTGGATGGTGCCTGTTTCTAAGGTTGTTTGGTCATATTCTGTGCCCAGCATGCTACAGACCTCTCCGTCTGTGCTTATGTTGCTATGTAGACCAGATGTCTGGCTCCTGGTGAGGATCATAGGAACTAGGAAGTGTTGATCCTGGATCTGTGCTAAGATTCCTTCCCTATAAGAACTAAGTGTAGGGCTCTTATGACCTGGGTAGCCACCTGCCAAGTATGGACCTGGTTGTCTCAAGACTGTCCATGCCATTTTAGTGAAGGCCTTGAGGAGAAAGAGGAGTTAGTTTTAAAGGACATGCTTCCTGTGGAGCAAGGGTTTGAGAGGATACTCAAGCTCCAGAGAGGATCAGAGACCAGGAGTTTGAGGATATTGGCATTTGCCCTTGACCAGAGAGGAGGACTCGGAGAGGAAAACCCTGGCTTGATACAGCTTTGGGTAAGTGAATTCACCTTTCAGTTTGTGTTTCTTATCTAAAGAGTTTAGCAAACGATGCCAGCCTTGCTTAGCTTACAAAGTTTTGTAGAGAGTAAGTGATTCAAGAAAACAGTAGAAGAGGGCTGGGGATGTAGCCCTTGGCAAAGCTTATGCCTAGCAATTGTGAAGCCCTAGGTTGTGCTCCCTGCTGCCCAGTTAGTCATGGTTGCTGTGTTTGAAGATGAAATTGCATGTAGACACACAGTATAGGGACTGGCATTGCCAAGTGCTACTTAATGGTTCCCAGGGGAATCCGAGGTGAACTGCTGAGAGGTGCCTATGGGTACCTTTATTCCCTTCTCCCAATCCTTGGACTGTTTGTGGTTTTTCCTTGTGCCATGCAAAAATTTTCAGAGCAAACCTGACTCCATTAGGCTATAGGTGTGTGAGCTAGCCAGCCTGCACAAGCAGCCCACCCACCTCTCCATAACCAGGGCAGGCATGAGAGACCCCTGGATAGGCAGGCCTCCTTCTGTCTCTGTTTTTCCATCAGGGGCTCTTTGTGACCCCCTGGAATCTGCTGATATCTTTGCTGTTGGTGGCTGCTCTTGCTACCCTTGCAGTGTAGTACCTGTGGACATTTTGTTCTTGGGCCAGAGACCCCGAACACCTTGTGGAGCTGTTGTTGCTGGGCTCTAATTCTTGAATAGCTTGGAAAGCCATGTGTGTTTAGCTTATTCTCCCCTCTCCTCCCAACTTCCTTTACTGCTACAATAACCTTCTGGTGCCTGGGTACCAACCCTGATCTCCAGTTCCTCCTCTGTCCCGTCTGCCTGTCTGCCCTCTGGCTGGAGCCAGCCTTCCAGAGATCGTGGCTGCAGTTTCGCCGGTGGCTTCTTTGATTCTTTCCTTTGCTAGAAAAGAAAAGGTCTCTTTATTTTTCTTAAAATTTAAATAAGTTTTAGTTTTTTTAAGATAGGAGTCTCCCTATAGCCATGTAGCCCAGGCTGGCCTTGAACTTGACACTCATCTGCCTTCATCTCCCATTGTTGGAATTACAGTGTGCACTGCCATGCTTGGATGAGTTTTTCTCTTTAGGGTCTTCAATCTGTATGTCCTTCTGAAAGCAGAGTTGGGTCATATCCAGGGGCCTCCTTTATGCTGTGAGGTTTGAAGCCCAGAGAGATGGAGGCCCTGCTGCTGGTCATAGGGCTGGAACAGTTCCCAGGTCAGGATGAGTATGGGGCTTGTTGAGACAGACTTACCTGGGCCTTCTGATGCTCTGGGCTAAGGAAGCTGGAGCCTGCTATGGCCACATCCATCCAGAGAACACTGAGGAGTAGCAGACTGCAGATGGTCCCTGAAGACGGCATAGCTTTCGTGGTGGGGACAGATGGCCCTGGGAAGAGAGGGTCTTCTGTTAGCATACCTCATCTGCATGATATGTCTTAGATTTTGTTCGGGTTGGAACCCAGCAAACTTGTAGAAGGAAGGGTGGTAGAACCTGGAGTGGGAACTATTGAGTGAAGCAAGGCTCTCTCGTCCCCATCTTAAAAGACTGGGAGAGCAGAAGACTGAGTTCTGCCTTTTCTAAACTGTTGAGGCATAGCATGGTGTGCTGGACGGCTGCGGCGTCCATCCTAGTGCGCTTGTCCTAAGCCCTCAGAAGCCTGATGGAGCTCATTAGTTCTTTATCCAGCTTTGTCTCTGCAGCCAGACAGGTTGGCCACTGTCCCCTTTGTTCGTTGAGCTCACTGACACTCAGAGAAAGTAAGTGAATGGCCAGTAGTGAGAAATTTAGACCTCTGTGAGCACACATACACGAACACACACAAACACATAGCACAGAGCCTACCTGGAATGCCTGGGGTTGTGGTGCCTGCTTCCTGGCTGCTCCTTATATAGGAAGCCTTTGTTTGTTTGGATCCGGCAGCCTCATCTCCGAGGCTGTCTACTTTGCGTGGGTAGTATTGCATTCCATGGGAACTAAATACTCTTCAGAGGTACCCAGTTGGCTTCCGGTGGGGCACCAGCTCCAGATGTCTCCGTGGTATCCATGTGGGCTTGGCACTGGTAGAGGGTTTTGGCTGATTAGGAACTCTGAGGTCTAGCTTAGTTGTGGTATGACCATGGCTTGCCCACTTCCATATGAGTTGGTGTTGCTATCAGGAGAGCTTTAAGATTTTGTTCAGCTTTGCCCTGCCACTGAGCCGTTGTCTTCACAAGATCACATAGATGCTCGCTTCTGGGATGTTCCCCAAGAAGGGCTGAACTGTCCTCCTTAGGGAGCGAGCGTGGGGGACGCTCACCTGGTAGCCATGCTTTATTGGTCTTCTGTGTGGTAAAAGGTGACTGTTTGGTCTTACTGATGGTTTTTATTTTAGACTGTTAGGCATAGTTCCCGGAGCCTTGTACTTGGTAGGCATTTTTCACTGAGCCATATCCCAGTCCTGTCTGGTGTTTGCTAACAGGCAGCTTGCCTCTACGTCCTCTGGCAGGTATCAAGGCCCTAGGACAATGGATGCCCATGTGGAGGAGCAGATGAGATGGACCTGGTGTTAGGAGTCCTGTAGTCTAACTTTAATGGGACAGTTCTTAGAAACTTTCCCACAAGGATCCTCTCCCCTTGCCTGCTAGCTCTTTGAAGACCGAGTGACAGGGTAGGATTGAGACTACTTTATAACTGATAATGTGGCCTGCAGGAGGCAGCTTTGCTGAACCATGCCTATGGTTGTGACGCACATATGCCAGATTCTATTGGCTCTAGGACTTGCCACTTCTAGAGGACTTTATGTAGTTGGATACTCTTCTGTAATGCTCTTAAGATCCCAGCACTAGGGAAGGGGAGGCAAGTAGATCTCTGAATTCAAGGCCAGTCTGAGCTATGTAGTGAGTTCCTCCAGGATAACCAAGTCTACACAGAGAAACTTTGTCTCGGAAAACAGAACAACAACAACAAAAAAAAAAAAAAAAAGAAAAATAAAAATAGGATGGCCCGAGGACAGGGGGTGGGGCCTGTTGATGGACCTACAGTGCAGACTTCTAACTCCTGAAGCACTGCTTTGCTGTCCCTGCTGCCACAGATAGTGGCATTGCATCAATAGGGCAACTCTGGGTGGATGACCAGTTAGTGGGGCGTTGATAGCAGAACAAATGGGCCCCATGACATCCTGACGTCCTAGGTAGTCTTGAGAAGATTGGGCCCTTGTGGGAACTCTAGGGACAGGTGAGGCATGGGCTGGGTTGCATCTCTGAGAAAAAGACCATCTGGCAGGGGTAGCTGAAATTCTATGTTTAGTCCTAGCTCAACATAACTTTATTACCAGACACCTTCATAGCCCTGTCACCCACCTGAACTTAGAAACCATTTGGTGCTGGGGCCCAGAGGGGCTGAAGATGGAGGAAACACCTAATCCGTGAGGACAGAAAGCCTATGCATGGTGACCGGGCATTGGCTGAGACATGAGGCTTATCCACTCGGCCCCTGGAAGCCTCTGGAGGCAGGAGGTGCTGGTGTTGATTTTAGATAAGGCCACAAGTGAGCAAACACACAAATTGCTGGCTATCTAGGGACAGAGCTGGCCCCCTCTAGTGACATACCTTGGCATCCAGAGTGTAGGTTAGCAGGGAGGAAGGTCTAGTGATGGAAGAAGTATGGAGGGAGAAGGAAGGCACAGCTGTGGGAGAGGGCAGGGGGCAGGAAATTCACCTCCATTCTAGCAAGAGGAGTTTGGGGAAGACTGTATGACTCCAGGAAGGACAAGTGGCTTCCCTACAACATCTCCACGTCCTGACTTTTAAAGATTTATTTATGTGTGTGGGTATTTTGTCTGCATGTTTGTCTATATACCAGAAGAGGTCATCGAATCTCATGGGACCAGTTATAAACTGTTATGGACCAAAATGTGGGTGCTGGGAATTGAGCTCAAGACCTCTAGAAAGAACAGCCAGTGCTCTTAACTGCTGAGCCCTTTTTCCATTGTTTGATTGTGACCAAAATCAATGTGGCAGCTCCAAGAATGGGAGTCAGACTGTTCTGTCCTGGAAGCAGGTGTCCCAGTATTCCCTTGACACCCACTGTAGTGATAACCTCCATATGAGGACACAGGCTGTGGAAAGGGAGGCTGTGGAAAGTAGAGATATTCGATTCCCTTAGAACTGGAGTTATAGGCAGTTGTGAACCATCTGATGTGGGTGCTGGGAACTGAATTCTTGTTCTGTGGAAGAGCTATATGTGCTTAACAAGTAAGCTGCCTCTCCAGCACTCTTTTTGTTAATTTTGTTGTTGTTGTTGTTTGTTTGTTTTTTGAGACAGGGTTTCTCTGTAGCTTTAGAGCCTGTCCTGGAACTCTTATAGACCAAACTGACTTCGAACTCACAGAGATCTGCCTGCCTCTGCCTCCTGAATGCTAGGATTAAAGGCGTGTGCCACCCCTGCCCGGCTTTTTGTGATGTTTTAAGAACTAGATTTACCTGTGGGCTCTGGCAGTGTCACTGAACATTGTTCAAGTTCCCCAAGACTTTGTACAGAATGGGTCTAACTACCACAGATAACTGCCTAGTCTAGACAATAGTTCCTGCCTTCTGAGTGCATTTGTAATTATTTTATTACCTGCATATGCAGTTTGCACAGAGAAGACAAGATTATTACTTGGGTTCCTATTTCTTTCTTTTTTTAAAAAAATTATTTTTTATGTGCATTGGTGTGAAGGTGTCAGATCTCCTGCAACTGGATCTTCAGACAGTTGTGAGCTGCCATGTGGGTGCTAGGAATTGAACCCGGGTCCTCTGGAAGAGCAGTCAGTGCTCTTAACCACTGAGCCATCTCTCCAGCCCCGGGTTTCTATTTCTTTACTCATTTTAGAAGTTAGGGTTGACTCATTTTTTAACATGAACTCACAAATTACATGGTGGCTTTTCAGTGAATTTATTCATCCTATCCAATGGTTTTTCAGCTGACTAGCTAGGGTTAGGTTTTGAAATGGGCCCGGTTTTAAATAACTTTCTATTTCATTGAGATCCCTTAAGTATATTGTGTCCACTTCCTCCTCAGACCCAAAATCAAACATGTGCCTAAGAAGCATTGGTCTCCATTAGTGGGCCCCGTGTATGCATGCAGGCTCACACACACCTTTACCTGTACTGTGTACACATGCTGGTGGAGGTCAGAGGTTAATATTAGGTGACTTCCTCAATGGCTCTCTAGTTATTTACTGAGGCAGTCTCTCTCTCTGAATTGAGAACTTGCTAGTTCAGTTTGTCTAGCTTGCCAGCCTGTTAGGGGTCCTCTGGCCTGTTGGGATCCAGTGCCAGCCTGGACCATAAATTATTTCTCAGACTAGCAGCCAGGCATGGGAATAAATACACAACTCAAATCATTTTATTGGGAGGGAGTTTTTTTTCGGTGATCCCTTTTGAAATTCTGAATTGACATCCTGAAAATTTCTCATCTGTGTTTATTCTCGAAACAGCTTCTATACCAGAACATAAACTGAGGGGGAAGTTCATTAGCATTCATTCTGTTTCCTAGGTGACCAGGGAAATATCTGAGGTCAACGTCCACACCTATCTATGCCTGCTCTGTGTGCCAGCTCTGTCACGTAGGCTGAATTAACATCTCTATCCCAGGCGTTCTCCAAAGTACAAAGAAGGAGCAGAACAACAATAGCATATCCTGACTCTTTGGACAGCGTCAGTGTGGAAGGCGAGGTGACCACCTCCTGCGTAGCAGGTGCAAACTGGCCTGAAACTCTGACCACCATACGAAGTAAAAATATGGGCCTTGGGGCTGGAGAGATGGCTCAGCGTTTAAGAGCATTGCCTGCTCTTCCAAAGGTCCTGAGTTCAATTCCCAGCAACTACATGGTGGCTCACAACCATCTGTAATGAGGCCTGGTGCCCTCTTCTGGCCTGCAGGCATACACACAGACAGAACATTGTATACATAATAAATAAATATTAACAAAAAGAAAAAAAGAAATATGGGCCTTATAATATATGACCCTACCCTGGCCCCACATCCTGGGCAGTAGGATTTCAGGTGGCCTGCCACACCTGCACAGCTTTTATGGAACCACTGGGGATCCACACTCAGGTCCTTAGGCTTTTTTTTTCCTCCCCCTCTCTCCACTAAGTAACCTGCTGCTTGGGAACCAGTTTTGAGATTGTATCAGGTGTATTGTTCTGGGGCTTCTCTCAGTACTGAGATTAGATACTCAAAATTTAAGGATTCGTATGTGTGTGTTTACATGTGTTGGCATACACATGCTGCAGCATGTGGAGGTTAGAGGACAGTTGCATTTGAGAATTGTTTTTCTCCTTCCACTGATGAGACCCAGGTTAAAAAACTCACGTAAGATTTGGCTGCAAGTGTCTTAACCTGCTGATCCATCTTGTAAACCCAGAAAAATACCTACTTTTAAAAGGAAAAATATGCACTGGGTGGTGGTGGCACATGCCTTTAATCCCAGCACTCGGGAGGCAGAGGCAGGCAGATCTCTGAGTTTGAGGCCAGCATGTCTACAAGATCTAGTTCCAAGACAGGCTTTAAAGCTCTAGAGAAACTCTTGTCTTGAAAAACAAAACAAACAAACAAAAATTAGGCGAGAGCATTTCTCATGGGTAACTCCAGCTCCAGGGGATCCAGCGCCCGTTCTGGCCTCTGTCAGCGCTTGTGTTCATGGGCACATACCCAAACACAGACACATACATGTAATTTAAAAATTAAAAAAATCTGAGAAAATGAAAAATAAAATGTAAACTATCAATATTTATATAT